TGTTTATTCAATAGGGGTAGAAAACTAAAAACAATCATCTCTTCATCTTAAAATGATGTATATATTCAATAATATTATAATTCAGAATATTAAAGATAATATATTTTGAAGCATATTATATTACGAGTAGTAAATTTGTACCTACAAAAAAAACTTAATACAATACATAAATCTTTAACGAATAATGAAGCATAAAATATGGAGTTACGGCCTTACAGGGGCTATATAGTTCTCAGTGTTAGAGAAAACAAATTCGGAGTAGAAGTTAAAAGTGAAATGAGATGGTGAGGAAAATATTTAAAGGATGACATTAATTCTTGTTAAATTTAGGCCTTATTTGGTTGCCTATATATTTTGTGGAAAGTCAAAATTCTCATGAATTTCATTTTCACCCTCTTGTTTGGTTGACTTAAAAAATTGATAATGAGGGCAATGAAAATTTATGGAAATTTTGACTTTTCATAAAATATGGGAATTCACTTACCTAACCCTCTTTAATAAGTTGAAATTCCTATGGAAATTTAGTTCCTCCATTCTTAATCAAATAAATTTATTAAATTCCCATAATTTTAATGATGTAATTTATTTTCAAAAGTTGAAATTTTATGGGAATATACACTTCGCTGATGAATCAAACGACCCCTTATTACTAAGATGAATTCCTTGTCAAAATTAAGTACTGTAATATGGAGTACGAGTAGTACTGTGTAACAAATAGAGAAATTGTAAAAATGAGATAAAAGATTGTTTTTTGGTTGGCGAGTGTGAAGTGCCTTGACTAAGCAAAACCATGTGGAATTCTCATGCTGCCTTGTCAGCATAAGACCCCAATTTGCCATTCCCAAGAAATCCATTACTCTAATGTAATCCCCCAATTAAGTTTTTTTTTTTTTTTTTTTAGCTCTGTATTTAATTTTCAAAATAAAAATTTCTGAAAAAAAAATGAAAATACATATGGAGTATAAAATACATAAGCTAATACAAAAGCTAGTGAATGTTTGAGGGATGGGCATTAAATAAGATAAGGGTAATGCTATACATATATAAGCATTAAAAATACTACGGAGTGGAGTATTGAAAATTAGGAATTTATAACAAAAATACGCGTAGATCAGTGTGTTTATGTCATGATTCCCTAAATTTTTTCAATAGTGTTTTTAATACTCATACTTATAAGTAGTCTTAAGAACTACAGAGTATGTACTATATAACATTTTTCATAAGATAATTATAAGTAGAATTATTAGGTTAGAAATAAACATTAATTTTATTATTGCATACATTTTAGTATGCATTCTAAATTTAATACTATTCCGTAATTTACATTAGATTCCATAATTTACAATCTCCTCTATCTCTATTGGAAAAAAAAAGGGAGGGGGGGGGGGATTATCTGAGAAAGATATTGTATCTCTGTTTTTAACCGGAGGGTTCTGTAAATCAGCATTATTACTTTTAGGTAATACATAATTTATTTTATTTCAAGAAGAAAAAAAAAAAAAAAAAAAAAAAAAGGAGTATGGGACAAAACGTTAGCTGTAAATGCAAGAGAAGATTTTAGCCCATAACTTATCTCATAATTACACCACCAACCAACCTTCAAGAGCCCAGAAACGCATCTTACAATTACTACCTCCGTTATATATTATTTGCAACGATTTGACATAAAGTAGAGAGGAAAAATGTCTAATCGTTGCAAATAATATGTAACGGATGTAGTACTTACGTATGTGTTATGTACTTGTGTTTCCAATTCATAAAGTAGTAATCAATTATGGATAAAATAATTCAGGTTCAATCACATTCTCATAATAATTTTATAATTGTAGTTTATTCTCTCTATCTTCAAATTATTGGTTATTTTTTATTTATATTTAAACATTTTAATTTTAATTGATAATCTTTAAAAGATGTAACGGTTCATGTCGCAACACACATAAATTGTATTTATTTTACTTTATGTATAATGTTTATGTCAATGTACCTTATGTAATTGAGACTCTGAGAGATATCAATATGTATAAGTGTATAACTACTCCGTATAACCTTTTTTTTTCCCCTCTTTCCTGAAAGTCAAAACATATTTTCTAATACTCACTTTAGTTATCAATTGCATTGTTAATCAATTTCCTCTATTAACACTGAAGTAGCTACTCCGCATTGATTGATACACATTTATGGTTATGGTTTGTAATCCTCAATACTTATAAAAAGTCAACTAACATGCATAATTTTCTTGACACTAATGTGTATGTCAAAAAGTATGATTTTAAATGCAACATCAAGTTTATCAAAAATGCCATGCGATCGGAATCAGTGCATATCCTGATGTCAACTTGATGTACTTCCCTGTTCTTTAACTTCTTTTGGGAGAGGGAAAAATATGGAGAAAAAATGACTCAACATTAAACTTCAACTCAAATGCAAAAGTAGAAAGAAAAAAAAAAATTTAAAACAAAGTTACCAGAGTAGTCAGTGAAAAAAATAGAATACAAGGGAGATTGTCTAAATCAATATGAGGTCTAACCGTCTAAATATACCAATAAGATTGTTGGTACTGGTGTACGGAGTATAAATGTACCAACAGACACTTATTATTCATGACAATAGTAAGGTCATGTTCCGATTGACTGAACTCAGCTGAACTGAACTGAATTGAACTGAACTGAACTGAGCTGAACTGAACTTATTAATTATTGATTTTTAACTACGGATTAGTGACTTTGATTATTTATTGATTATTTATTACTATACATATGTGTATATACAAATGTACATATTAATAATAATAATATTATCATTATTATTATTATTAATAATTATTGATGATTATTATTATTTATTGATTATTATTATTAGTATTATTATTTCAATTATTATTGTTATTATTATTATTTATTAATTATTATTATTATTGTTATTGTTAATATTATTATTATTATTGTTGTCGTCGTCGTCGTAATAAGAGCTTAAAAGAATGAAATTTGGCTTTATATCATTAACAATATCATTAGACGTAAATTAAGAGGAGAACTGAACTGAATTGAATTTCAACGGAAGAGAACATGCCCTAATTATATGCATAGACTTTCTCGAATACATAAACATGCTTCACCTAAATTTTTTCCTTATTTCGTACATAACAACATTTGACAACATTTGACATTTTTTTACCCTGTAATTTATTTCCATTTACGTGTGACCTAGAAGGATAGGCAATTAAGGAAGTCAATTAATTCAGCATATTACTAGATCAAATTTGTTAAATGATGCTATCTTTTAGCCGAAAGTTACATTTCAATCAATCCAATGAGAAGTGCACATTACTAGAATTAATGTTTGATTAGGATCAGTTCTTTAAAAAGTTATGTGTTCTTATCAAGGTGTTGAATTGACAAGTATCATAAATAAATGTCACTTAACATTGCTACTTTGAGTACTTTAGGCTAGGTCTTCAAGCAATTTACTCTAGTAATTTAATTTTCACGTCAATCAATCATATACCTCAAAATAAGTTTGTATGATATTGAGTGCAATATGAAGTTCAAATCCAAGGCTAATGATGAACTTTATTGTGTGTTTGTAAGAGGGAGGTTCTCTACTTCTCTTATTGGGTTTATGTATTAGGGCTAGTAGGAGCCGTGTAGCCTCACTAAAGAAAAACAAAAGCTTATTGAACCATAAATAGAGTTCAAATTCAAATGGCTTCATAAATGACCTATATAAACCACTCGTATCTAATAAACTAGTTAGAACTTGTTCTCATAGACTAAACTGAGCTGAGTTAAACTGAAATGAATATTTTATAAGAGAAGGAAATTATGAGTTGAACTGAGCTGAGCTAAACTGAAATGAATATTTTATAAGAGAAGGAAATTAGGAGCTGAACTGAACTGAGCTAAGATAAGCTGAATTTCAACGTATAAGAACAAACCCTTAGCATTCGTAGTATACCAACCAAACATGAATTGTAATCCAAGTAGCAGAATCAAAATGGTCTTTGGCGTGGAGCTAACCATTCCATAACATCCAAATTTTACATCCACAATCTAGTAATATGGCTGCCCTACTTTCCCAAGGCAAGGCACCATGTTCACTAGATCCACTTGGCTAAAACTCCAAAAGCTACAAAGCCAACAAGTTGAGCCTAGGATAAGTCAAAGTGGTCCATTAGGTGGTCAAACAACCTGTAGTATGAGCCCCAAGCTATCTTGAGTTCATTACTCAAGCTAGGTTCTGATCTACTCCGTAGATTCATTAATACATTGCCAAATGACAAATCAATTGTGTCAAACACATTTCTTTTTATTGATAATGACTAGATTAAATTATCACCCCACAATATATTTCTCGCGTTTTAACAACCATAATAAGACTCGCCTCACTTGACTCAACCCAACCTAATTAGACTCGACACGTTTATGAAAATCAATTCCAAACCCAAAATCAAGTCGAACAAGCATGAATCCAAATTATCCAATTCAAACCCGATTCGACCGGCCCGACAAACACCCCTACTATGATCACCAAACCTAAATCCTAGCCGGGCAACCCGAGTCAACAGGGGTGAAGATCCAATTTCCTAAAAATGCAAATACCACCATAATTAAAAACAAAGTTTCCTTGATTAACAAAAATAATGCTCCTAGGGAGTTGGAATAGTAACTTTTAGCAACAAAATTAAGGGCATCTCTGCCACCCTTTTAGGCATCCCTATAACTTTCTCTCTCACTCCCACGTTCATCCATATGCTCAACCGCAAATCTCTTAATCACCAAGTCATTACGTATCACTAATTTCACCCTAATTACACTTTTAATCAATTAATCACCCATTAATTAAACTACTTTATTAACTGTATAATCACTTGTACTTGATCATCAACCAGATTTGCGGCTTCAAAAAATAAAGCTGAAAAATTTGTAATCAACATATTAATACACATTAATTCAAATATGCTAATTGCAAAACCCAGAAACAGAATTATAAACAGAGCAAGATTAATCAAGAAACAGAGTAACAGAACAACACAAATTGCTTCGAATAGATTCTAGAAGGTTTTTTCCTTCAATCTTTAATTTTCTGGGATTTGTTTTTTTTTTGGGGGGATATTACAACTTGCAATTGAACCCAATAAAAGTCCTATTTTATGGAAAACAAAGTTAAAAAAAAAAAAAAATAGATCTGTACAGTATATGATCTTAGAACCCTAATAATTCCTCTTCTTCCTCGGACGCCAACAAAAGTGTGATTAAAGCGCAAAATCAAAATCTTGAATTGGGTATTTTTAATCATCTAAAAATCTATCTCGAAGAAAGAAAGAGAGAAAAAAGAACCTAATTTTAAAAAGAGAGAAAAGATGAAGAAAAAAAGAAAAATTCCTTCTTTTTGGATTCTCTTTCTAAAAAAAGATTTATTTTTTTATACAAAAACTCTCTAATCTTTCTCCTTAATCAAGAATCAGCTTAATCTCTCCAACAAAGGAGCATAACAACACACCTCCGCATGATATAGAACCTTGCTCTCTGTTCTTTAACAAGACTCGCACATTTTCTCGAGAACGCACACCTTCTGTTCGACGAATTGCCTGAAAGAAACGACGATGAATTTGAAGAAGATTTGGAACTCCCGACGCTTCTTCTACTGCCATCTTTCTTCGATAACTTCCATTTTTCGTCGAAATATAACGCCGGTGTTGTTGTTGAAGATGAGGTCGATGTTGTTGTTGTTGGAGAAAATGCAGTTTCTGATGCCATCGTTATTGGCAGAAGAAATTGAAGGTTTTTAATGGGGGTTTTGATAAATTTGAAGAATTGGGTATTTTTGATTGCAGAGTGAAAAACGAGGAGATAGAAAGAGAGATTGAAGAAGATGATTATGATGAGAGAGAGGATTTGGAAAAGAAGATGGGGTCTGCTATTTATTTACAGGTTGGGAGAGAGAAGGGGTGACAGATGAGTGTGGCAGTGGGTATCACCTGGGCCTCCGTTTTGCTTCGATAAGCCCACTTTCCTTTTTTTTTTATGAAAAATAAAGAATATTTGCAATAATTTGACTTTTATACGGAGTAGGTTATACGAAGTATTATACGAGTACTAAATTTCTTAAATAAATATAGTTTGAATACTTTAGGAAATTTTTAGACATTTGAATATTAGGGTTTGTTTTCATTGACTGAAATCAGCTGAGCTGAACTGAAATGAATATTTTATAAGATAAGGAAATTAAGAGATGAACTGTACTGAATTGAACTAAATTGAATTTCAACGTATGATAACAGGCCCCAATCCATAGTGTTGAGGAATTGAGGAAAGGGAGTGATAAATCTTTAAATCAAAATAAAGGAGTACAATTGCTATTCAATTTATCATACTTTGATTTTCTGGATTAAAGTTTTTGAAAGAACTTACTATAAGAAAAAAAATATCCTTTAAAAAAACGGTTATAAAAAAATGACATCATCAATAGTTAGAAAGCGACACGTATACAGTTTTGAGGAGAAATGAAGTCAGCAATGTTTTGTTTTAGTACGAGTAATAATAATAATAAGTTAATAGATACTCGTAATTCAAATTTTTCATATTTATTTAAACGCTGATTATTTGATGATCTATGTGAGTATTTAATACATAGTACAAAACATAAGCCCTATTCTTTTGAGCTTATAATAAAGACACAACAGAGCAAGAGAATGGAGCCATAGTCAAACGAAATTTTGTTAAATTTATCTTAAGGGGTTGTTTGGTTACACAAAGAAAATGGAGGAAGTCAAAAATCATGGGAATTTAAAAATGGGTGAGTTGTTTGGTTGACACTAAAAAGTGAAAATGAGGGAATTGCAAATTCATGGGAATTGTGACTTCCCACAAAACATGGGAAGTTGATTACCCAACCCCCCCTAGGTAAGTCAAAATTCCCATGATTTGCAACTTTCCAAATGTCAACCAAACAATTTTAAGCAATTCCCATGGATTTGATGTAGGAATTTAATTCCCATGAAATACAAATTCCTATGGGAAGTAAATTCCCATATCAACCAAACGACATCTAATATATTTTATTATCATGACAAATTTTTATATGTGGCTAGCCATAATGAGGATTACTTCGTTAGTATTATAAAGGTTAATCGGATTACTTCATACTGTTATATGGATTACTTGTTCCATCATATGGTTTTTACTACGTTAATATTAGAGTTCAGAGGTTACTCGTTCAGTGTCAAAGAAATTACTTTGTCAGTATTATAGAACTACTCGATCAACTTACTTTTCGTTTTACAACCGGCCACACACTACACACAGGACGGGTTGTATTATTATGTAATGGTTTGACTTTTACATGAAATATTATTTGTTTGCTTGCTATACAAAGGAGTATACATAATCGTGCAATACATAATCGTATAAATTTGTCATGAAATACACTTGGGGCATGTTCTATTCAGATTATTTTCAGTTGCAATAAGTTCAGTTCAGTTCAAATTTTAATTCATTCTCTCATAAAAAAAACCAGTTCACTTTAATTCAGCTCCAATCAGTCTAATTCAGCTCAATCAGATATCGTATATAAGATACTCCATAATATTTTGTTACTGTTACAATTTTGGTAACCTAGCTTAGCAAGTGTAGCAATGCTCAAATTGTTAATTTTGTTTTTTTTAAAGATAATTATTTGAAAATTAATATTGTAATGGTATAGTGAATTCCCAAGGCACACGTCATGTTTGGATGGAAGTGAGGTGATACATTGAAAATTGGAGAGGAATGGAGGAAATAGGAGTTCCGCATTTTGTGATGAAAATTCTTAGGTGGTTTGGATTTACTGCCTTAATTTTCGTATTTACTTGGTTAAAGATAATTTTAAGATTGATTGTCCCCTATCTTTTTCACAATTTTAAGAGTTTTAAATAAGATAAATAAAAATAATTTTTGAGTTTTGTTAAACATGCACTCATAGTTGGACTTGTTCTCTAATTTGTGGATAAAATAGGAGAAATTATAGGAAACTTTACGTTTTAGCAAAATAGTTGGACTTGTTCTCTAATTTGTGGATAAAGTAGGAGGAATTATAGGAAGTACTCGGTAGAAAATTTCACGTTATTATTACAATTTTTTTTTTTTTTAGGAAAATGTTTTTATTAGTGTTCGTTATTTAATTAAGTTGAGATTCGCTCTTGAGTTTTGTTAAGCAGGTAGTTAGACTCGTTCTCTAATTTGCGGATAAAATAGGAGAAATTATAGGAAATAGGAAATTTCACGTGATTAATTAAGAGTGCTATTCATTGAGTTGAAAGATTTGTCCTTGAGTTTTGTTAAGCCAGTAGTTAGAATTATTCTCTTATTTGCGGATAAAGTAGGAGAAATTATAGGAAGTAGGAAAAGAGTTTTATTAACCAAGTACATAGTTAGACTAGCTTGTTTTCTAATTTGCGGATAAAGCTTGAGAAATTATAGGAAGTAGTGAATGACACAGTCGAATAAATGGATAAATGTGGCAATTTGAAAGGACTTTGGACCTGTTCATGTTTATTGAATTGAACTTAATTAATTGGAGTTGAAGTGAAGTAAACTAAAATGGATATTTTATGAGAGAAGGAAATTAGGAGGTGAGCTGAACTGAAATTAAGCTAAAGTGAATAGATCTTTTATCATTTTTATTTTATCTTACAAACAAAGGTAGGGTATCATTGTTAACAAAGTCATAAAAGTTAAGGATTTATATAATGATAAATTTGAAAATAATAAGAGTGAACTTACATGTTAACAAGCATGACTATTAAAATTGTGACAATTATTCTAAAACGGGCAAAACTCGTATTTTGGTGGTGGGTAGAAGGGGTAGTAGCATATATAAATAAAATAGCTGTAAAATGAAAGAATGCAGTCCCTGAAGTGGGGGAGAGGTATGCAGATGGCAGACTGGAAAACTGGAACAGAAGCAGCATATTAATATGTGTATGTGTATGTGTATGTGTATGTAAATGTAAATGTAAATTGGTAATGAAAAAAGAGGGACTTCATTCATAAAGGCTATTTGTATTTCCCTGTTTGGCATCACATGATCTAATGCAGTATCACAATATGGAGATCAACATGGAGAATAACGTGATTCTTTCTAACGTTTTTTTTTTCCCAATCAAATCTTCATGTCAATCTTAATTATTATTGTCATTATTTTTTGGCATTCTAGTTTATTTTTAAAAATAATGTGTTGTAGGTGAATTATTGTTTTGTATGGTATGATTGAAATTTCGAGCACTCCTTCACGCCAAAAAATAAAGGGTAAATATTGGTTAAATATGGAGCTTGTCTTTATGTTATGGAATCTGAATAATAAACATAAGCTAAAGAATGCTTACTTCATTGTTTACTTTTAATAATAGGGCACACTTTAGTTGACATTTTAAAAAAAAACCTTGTACTTCGTATTTTGATCACATTTATTAGCAACACTGTCTAATGAGTTTACGTCCGCAATAAATCAACTCAAATACGAACTACTGTGTATAAGAAGAAGAAAAAAAAATGTTATGATTTCAAAAAAAAATGTTATTTAGAGGTTTTATCACTTGAATACTTTACCTATTTTTGCCTCCAAAACATTATCAAACATACATGCATGGTGGTCTCCATAGGACCCGTTTGGTGAATAAAAAGGATAATTTGAGCTAATCTCATTAGATTCAATCACCCCATCACTAAAGATCGAAAGTGGTATGGTTAGTGCATTTAAAGTGGTATGGTTAGTGCATTTAAAATAATGGTCACCGTTTATGATTTCTTAGACCATTTATCAACATATATAAAATCTACTAACAAACTTTTTAAATTAAATAAGAATATTACCAAAGGAAAAGAAAAAAAAAACAAGTTTTTACAATTTTTACGTGTATGAAAACAAGTGTGGGTAAATCAGTCCTTGTGAGATTTCTCCGTATGTTTTGATGGAAATTTGTCTGCTTTTTAATATAATTGGGTTCCGATTGTTTTAAAAAAATAATAATATAATAAAGTTATAAACGTTTTAAAACATGTCTTAAAGACTATAAAAATTCAAATAACGAGACAAAAAAATAGAGAGAGGGAGTAAATAGATCAAAAATAGAGGAAAAGTAGAACTAAGATCTGTGAAGTTTTCAAGTGAAGCGAAGATGCAAATGTGGATCATACGCATGTGTTTCATTGAGTTTCAAATGAAATTAATTCCCAATCAAATGTTTTTGACCCAAAAACTACACATAATTATAAATGTTACTCATAAAATATTGGTCAATAATATCAGATCTTATGTAATTAGTGCTTTAGACATTAAAAATCCACGAGTTGGCCCACGAGTTGCTTTCATTAAGTCAAGATATGCTATTATAGTCTATAAGTTATATGCACCACCCTATCCATTATCTTCTTAATGCAATTGTTATTATTGATCAGTTATGCTCAAGAATTCAAGAAAGTATATAAAATGACTTAAATATTTGATATGCTTCGTATATTACTTGTGCATTTGTGCTCCTTTACATTTGATGATGAAGTGTTAACTTAAGAATGTGTCATACCTAAAGACTTTTAGGATCAAACAAAACTCTTGTTTAAATTAAACTTTTCTCCACTTTGCAATGATTAGAAAATTAATTAATCAACCAGCTCTCATTTCTTTTGAAATTCCACCTTGTACTGTCCTCGGATATTTTATCAAAATAAGTGATAGAGTATAAAACAAATTGTTAGAGGACCAACTAATTAATTCCACTTTAAAGGAGGGGTGGATGAGATTCGAACCTGTGACATTTGTGTCATGCTGGCTCTGTTACCATGTTAGAGGACAAACTCAACCAAAAGCTTAAACTGATGGTTGATGCCCAGGAATATGTTTTATATACTCTATCACAAATTTCTGGGCAAACTTGTAAAGTAAACTCTCTCTCTCTTCATCTCTTGATTTGCGGATGCAGTCCATACTCTTATTTAACAATGAAAGAACTTGATAATTTTTATACGCCAACAAACAAGCACTTAGGGCATGTTCTAATAAACTGAAATCAGCTGAATTGAACTGAACTAAGCTAAACTGAACTGAATTCGTGACATCTTTATTAGTTTCCCAAGTTCAAGAACTTGAGAAGAGAGGATGAAAATCAGAAAATGGTAGCTACAAAAAATGAATGCATTTGTCTTGGAAAAATGAAATGACTAACCATAACAAACATGACATTTCTATCACACGCTTTTTACATCATTTCATCCATAATAATGGTAGACTAGACATTTTCAGTTAGCAAAGTTGATAGCTGTTGCAAATCTGTTGGGTTTAAATTGAGGAAGTCTCCTGCAATAATCTTTCTCATTGGCCATACAAATATAAAGTTGAATGAAGGATCATAATATATAAGTATATCAAATATCATACGCTACACTGTTGGATTGGTAATTCTGTTTCAATTTTTTTTTTTTATTTCTGCTGTTAATACGGAGTAATAATAACGTATGTAACGTGATGATATGATATGTTTATATCTTCAATATATCATAGAGTTATATCATAGGGATCATAAAATCAAGTAACCATGATATATAGGTTTCACTGTTTACAAGAAGGATTTTAAAGTAGTACTTTTATCAGGAGATTTTTTTTTTCTCCTTGGTATTTGTTTGATATCTCAATATTGAATATTGATGACATCTTCCATCATTATACGTGGATGTCCATTGTCCAAGCTTCTTGAATACGTGACTTGTGCTTCTGTAAGGTGAGCAACCGCATAGAGTTTTCGGATGAAAAGGTCTCAATATTGATATTTTCATGGTATATAAAGAGAAAATGATCAGTAATAATTTAATTATTAATTTTATCACAAAATAAATAAATGAATTAAAGTCCCAATTTTATATAATTGCACTAATGTCAAAAAAAAAATATAATTGCACTGATCGAGCCACTGAAACATTGTCATCCTACCCGACGCGAATCAATTTCACTTTCTAGGAAGGATAAATGAGAATTGAACTCGTGACCTCTATGCCATGTTGGGTTCGATAGCATGTTAGAGGACTAACTCGACGTACTAACAAATTAAGGTGATGGTTGAGGTCCAGGAATGTATTTTTATTCTCTATCAAAAAATGTAATCACAAATCAATTAAATACTAGAAATATGATTGATTGCTGTTAGAGATATCGGAAAATATTGTGTGATATATTTTACGTAGATATCATTCAGAGAATAATATATTTAGGATATTTATATTAAGATATTATTTTGAGAATATATCTTTAGGGTTTATGGTTATGGTGGTATATCTTTTAGGAATATTGTTTCCTATTTTAAGTTCGTAGGTTTTGTATAAATACTCAATCTATTGATGAATAATAATCAAGCTATTCATTATCTCTTCTCCCTAATTTGTCAATTGCAAATACTAGAAAAATATGATTGATTGCAAATTTGCTATCAATTTTTACATTTTATGTTCACTGTCTATAAACGTTACTCTGTATAATTTATCATTTGAATTTTGAATACAGTAGTCTTTCAAATTTTGCCGCATTTACATTAACTGTTTTTTCAAATAAAATGAAGATAGTTGATTCTTTGATTACTACTTGTATAATTAATCGATACTTTAGGTGGTAATTCAGTTAGTTTTCTAGGTTTTTTTTTTTTTTTTTTTTTTTTTGGACGGGACACGAGCTAGCAATTTTATTAATCTTCAATCGCTCAATAAGAAAAAAGAAAGTTATTCTTAAAATAATTGGGTTGTTGGACTGGTAGCTAACAGCAACAACAAGCCATCCATGAAATATATCTGTAACGATTTTGCCGAATATATAACTTTTTACTGCATGGTTATTAATTTTTGTAATCAATTTTAGTAGTGAATTTTAATTTCTTAAATAGTACGTCGGCAAAATTTATACAGGTAGTTTTTTACTTCCCAAAAAAAGGTGTAACAATGATGAAATGATCTTGTGGGATGTGATAGTACCCTTACTTAGCCTCGCTTTATCCAAACTGAGCTCTCATGAGTCATGACTTGGATGATACGTACCTTTTTTTTTTTTTTTTTTTTTTTTTTTTTTCTGATTTTATCCACCAAATTATTTTATGTATGTGGAATTAAAGTGGGTTCACATTTATGTAATTTCAGTTCAGTTCAGCTCTAATCAGTTCAGTTTCTAATTTCCCTTTCTCATAAAATATTCATTTCAAAGTTCAGTTCCAATCAGTTCAGTAAATATTAATAGACCTTTATTCCCCTTACTTCCAAGCAAATGGAGTTGGTAGGGCTCGAATTCATAAGCTCAAAATTACAAGCAAATGGAGTTGGTAAGGCTCGAACTCATAACCTCAAAATTACAAGGTGAGTTCCCCACCAATTCTACGTCTCCACCCTTTGTGATTTTGTTAATTAAGTTATTTGAGCCACAAGCAGCATGCACGATGCATAGGCTTACCCTATCTGATCTCATATATATTACGGAGTACAATATTGAATTACATCCCAAATTTATCATGCTTAATTTTTCTTTTTTTTTTTTTATTTTTATTTTATTTTTATGAATGTCATACAAAGTATATGCTTAATTTACTTAGAGATCAATAGAACCATTTTTATTTGTATTGTACTAAAGAGTGCTAGGAAAATATTCATTTAATACACCTACCTAACTAAAATCAATATAATACTACAATCCACGTATTTGTAAATAATGTCAACCAAAAATCAATACTCATTTTATGAATGATAGGAGTCATCTTTACTGGATAAAGAAAATAAATTACAATCCGTCATCCAAGCTAGTATAATGTTCATAGTAGAGCAATATGAATGAATCGGAATATAATCTACAAATGTTGATTAAATATTGTAGGAAAAGCGTGTCAAAATACAATACCATACGTGTCCAAGATAGATTTCCATGTACATATAATTAAACAAATATACGTAGTATTTTGTATGTTATATAATGTACTTCAAATTGTTGGCTGATTTATTAATTAATTTATCAGCCAAAGTTTGACATGTGAACAATTTATTTCGCCAGTTTATTTATTTTGATGGTATAAATTTGGATCTAATGTGAAACAAAATTCCTAGTCACATTATTTGGTCTTAAAGACCACTAGTATATATTCACATAAAATAAACTTTTTATGTTCTGACATTTTAATTTTTTTAACTTGTAAGACTACTATTATCAAATACGAAGTATTAGGCTTGTTTTAATGGGTATGGTATTCCTTACCAAGAGCAGGATTCCTACCACTATACCAATCATTCAATCAACAATTTCAAATAAAAAACAAACCTTTTATTTCATTTTAAGATAGATGCATGACATGTCTAATACATGAATGGAAATTTCTTAAATAAAATTGAAGACTGACTAATAGAGTACATCTCAAATTCAGGCTGATTTAATACACCTCGTACAAGTAAAAATGAGAGATAACTCAAATGGTTAGAACTCTCCTCCCGATTTCATGTGATCTTGAGATCGATTTTCATCACTCGCCCCTGTGACTCTCTAAATAGAAAAATAAATAAATAAATCTCATACAAGTAATAAATTTTTATGATTCGTGTTACACATACACTTAAGATACATTCCTTTTCAAACTCGGAAATTATGTAAGCAACTTGCGAAAACTTGATACTATCATGATATAAATGACACAAAATGGTACTAAACAATGTCACAATCAAATAAATGAAAGTTACATAAAAATAAGATATGAAGGCTATCTTTATGAAAAACAAGAATGATAAGATCACTAAGATGCCAACGTTAGGAGGTGGTGGAGTGAGGAGGAAAAAGGATAAATAAAATACTACGTAATTAGTAAATCTGAGAGCTGGACCAGAAAACTGGAGTCCTCAAAACTTAGAAAGTTGTGGGCCTTAGTGGGCCTCAAAATGGGTTTTCATCCTCTGAGGATCCGCATCGATATATTACTAGTCGCTTTCCTTGTTCTTGGCTCACACGTGCCGGTTGCCTTCATGTTTGGACTTCGGGAAATTGGTGGGTCCTCTTTTATTTGTTCGTGTGTGTCACCATGTGTGATGCTATCATTAAGTATAGTGTTTAATGGAGTTGGAGATTTTTTATGTGGTTTGTATAGTGTGTGATACTATTGAATATTAAGTTGGAGTACTTAAATTTCAATTAATGTACATTTATTTATTTTTTCTAAATGAGTCACATGTGTATTATAAGGAGAGGGGATTCAAATCTGTAATTTATTATAAGTAAACCCTAAATTTAGGCCATAGATTTAAATCTCATGGATTTTCTTTTCAATATTAAAAACAAATAAGTTGGGAGTAAACATGGTTATTAATCGCCACCTGAATTTAGGTCTAAGACCTTTAATTAAGACCTTGGCAGTTAACCAAGCATTTTGTAAGATGAAATTGGTTGGAAACTCATACTCCGTATTGTAACTTTAAGGTCACACGTTCAAGTCCTATGCTCCCTAGTTATAAACTACTCTGAATATTTGCATGGGAATAGGGGATCTCCTTACCTCTTCTATTAATAAGTGTTGACATGCGAAATCGGGCTGACTTAACCTGTTAAAGATGTTGACTCAGTAGGGTCATTCATCTCACCAATTGGTTATGAGTGCAGGCGTGCATCAGTGTCTAGGGCTGCACTTATTAGAGATGATTGCGTGTTCTATCCTCCACAACTAGGGGTGAACTAAAATTTTAGAAAATCAAAATTAGAATTGGTGGGTCCGGAAATGGAATTAGACCCGGTGGTTACAATTATGAGTAATAATTTAAGCACTCGGTTGCAACCGGTTTCAATTCCAATTCTCAATTATTTGGAACTGGAACTAGTTGGATACTCGATTACCCAATATATATTTCTGATTAAACCAACTCCAATTTCTAAATTTTAGGATCTAATTGTATCAATTTCAATTCCGATTGCAAATTTCAAGACCCGATCTCAACTAGTTCTGGATCCTAAAATTTTAGCCGAGTACCTAATTTGTTCACCCCAAGTCCCCAACTCACAACAACAATTAGTAGGTAATGAAACTTGACCGCCCGTAATTGAACCCCGAAAACATTTGTCCAAAGGGTGAAGTGGTAAACCGAGTTAAAAAAAAAAAAAAAAAAAACTTGGCCGTTAGATTGAAAAAACTATTTCGCGCCACATACTTCACCGACCCCCGATAATTTCATCCTTCAAGCTTCCGCGGAACTCGAGGAGAGGGAATTAATAGACGGCGAGAGACGATTCTGTCGGAAACCCTAATATCTTCAACATTGTTCTCCGGCAACGCGCGTCGCAATTTGCCATGTTTGATTTTCTCTCTCATCTGCTGTTCAATCTATGATTATACGTATTAATTAGTTCCAGATTGTTGCATTTTTTTGATTTTTCTTCTGCAATTCAATTTTATTTTTCCCGCCCAAATTTATATAATTTGGATTTTTTTGTTCTTCAATTTTTTTCATCAGAATTTCAAATTTGTCGCTGAATGATAGCAGATGCTGCGAGGTTTTCCGTATTTGAAGCCTCTCTTACTGTCAGTCTTCTTTTCTTCATCTTAATTTTCTCTCTCCTCCCCAAAACAATTTATCAATTTCTTCCTGAATTGGGATTTCCTTAAACCCTAACCCTAATTTTAATTTTGCAAGGCGACCTTCAATTCGTCATAACAGTGTCAAATTTCAGCAGAATGATTCAATTACAGCAACGAAAATGGAGAATGGTACTTCCAAGAAAGCAGAGACCCAATCAAGAGGTGCTTTGGTGGTATTAGGACTGGATCGAAGTGGAAAGAGCTCTCAGTGTAGTGAGCTTCTTTCTCACTTGAAATTTCTTGGGTATCCAGTTGAGTTATGGCGGTATCCTGATCGAAACACCGCCGTTGGACAGATGATTTCGGCTTATCTTTCCAATCAATCTAATTTGGATGATCATACCATTCATCTCCTATTTAGTGCTAATCGATGGGAGAAAAGGTTGTTCTTTTTTTTTTTTTCTAAGTTTGATTTATAATTTACTCTGGCATTATTTGTTGGGTGTAGATTTCTAATTGTTTGATGTTTATGTCTAGCATAATTTGATCTCTTTCCATGTTGATTTTGGTTAGGCAAGTTCCAATTGGGCTATTATTGTTCATATTATTATTATGTTTACTTCTCTTTGCAATGATTTTGCCATTATATGCATAACTGGTTTTGATTATACTCATTTGGGATTGTGGAAGTATTGTGAACTACAATTCTTCTAGATAGAGATGTTTTGAATTTAGATTTATTAGGTTAAGTCTTAAAGGCGGCATGCCTTGTGTTTCCCTCAAAGACTATCCTCGCAAATTTTGAATTGGAATTGTCAATGTTATTATGCTATTTTGTATAGATTAATGTTACTATGAACATTTTGTACGGACTAATTTTACTACGCTATTTATCACTGGCAGATTTTGCATGATTCAGTTGGCATTTCTCTTAGTACATGCTAATGTTCAGGTATTCCCTTGGAATATAGGAAATTTTGTTATTGAATTATGGGGACTTTAGCTTATACTAGTACATGCTTACTTTTGTTTGTAGATGATGTTTGTTCTGCATGTATGAGGTATAATAGTATTATGAAAGAACAAATCAATCCCATTTACTGAAATTGGAACAGCATATTGAAGAAAGTTTTATATTCCTTATATTGAGGCTTTTTGGATGTTGCTATCAAAATTGGTACGAACAATTGCTATGTGATTTGGATTCATAAGACTATAGGGACAGAATTCCAAAACATTGATTGAATTTTATTGCTGCATGCATCTTGTTCACGGAGTGTTTGTTTGCTGACTTGCCTTTTATAATTGTAGATCATTGATGGAAGATAAGCTGAAAGCTGGGATCACTCTCATTGTTGATCGTTATTCCTACTCTGGGGTGGCTTTCTCGTCTGCCAAAGGCCTTGATTTTGATTGGTATAAGGTAAATTTGTTGTAATGTTGTTACCATTCTGTGTTTAGTGACAGATTAATTTTCTATATAGTGATAGAAAAGTGAAGTCTGTAACTGCAAGCCAATAAAATATTGGAGGTGATCTGAAGTGGAAGAAATGGCTGGGAATGTAAGAATCTTTTTAGCAAATAAGGCTTAGCTGTTTTTTCTGAGCACATTATGTAGCTTAATTTTATTGTAATTTGTAGCAATGAAGTTCTGTAAAGTACTTCATAAAGGGAAAGCATGACTTATTCGAGGAAGAGATAATATTGCAACTGAAAACCTATCCTAAATTGAGAGTGATGAGTGCTGACTACATGCTTTAGTTATTCCAAGTGTTCCAACTCTTTCCAATCAGCCAAACTACTAGTATGTCTAATTTACATGTAATGTGATTGTTTTGCTCTTTTCACAGGCACCCGAGAGGGGATTGCTGGCTCCTGACACGGTCTTATACCTTGATATATCACCAGAGGTATATTTTCAGAAATCAAGCTTTTGAATTTGGAACTTATTTGAACAACATGGTTTGTTAGCTAGGCCTGACAGGATTTCTGTCTTTAGATCCATGCAGAAATTATGAAATGGATGTATGACACTTTCTTTTCTCATATTGATTTATGGCATGCACCATTTGTTTGGTGAGCATTGAGACACAGGGCTGTTAAATATCATTTTAGATTCTTAGTTATTTCATATAGCTTCCCCGGACTTATGCCAGATACAGCTACAAGTATATTACTCCTCGTCTTATCACACTTCTCAATTACAAGAAGGTGATACAAGTTACAACCAATATAGTTACCTGAACAAATATTAAGGGCTTTTTCTTTGTTCTATCTGTAATACTACCAGTTCCATTCCACCAAATCTTTTAATGTCAGGTCAAAGTGACAGTATATCCTACTATAGTGAAAACTATTTTCAATTTGCAGAAAGCTGCTGAAAGAGGTGGCTATGGTGATGAAAGATATGAGCGTCTTGACTTCCAGGAGAAGGTCAGAGTAAAATATCAGGCTCTTTATGATGCTTCATGGAAGGTATTTTTTCTTTCATATATTTCGTATGCTTTTCTCACTTTTGTGATATTTGTCACTTGACATATTTTTCTATTTCTTACACACTTTTTGGCATGCAACATATAACGTTTGTCATTTTGCCGTGGTAATTACTTTTGAGTTTTGACAGTAGTACTCCGTAAAATTATCTTCAATCATGTATTATGAAGGTATCTCTCTGATAATCTAATTGCATAATAATAAAAACTATAAAAAGTTGATTTATGACTAATATATTGTAGCCAATCCAACAATAATTAACATAATACCCCGTTATATTTATTTTAATGTATTAGTAAAAATAATATCAAGTCAAATATTATACTTGTATATCATTAGTTTCTGAATTCGAATCTTTTTATTTATACTACGTATATCTAATCTTGACATGTCTTTCAACTATGGAGTACTCCGTAGTTTCTATGAGCTTGTTGCTTTGCCATTCTAGTTTTGCCTTTTACATCAAACTCTAAATACAGAGTAAATGTCATAAAGTTACTAAAACATTGCAAATGGTAATAGGTTGTTGATGCCTGCTTGCCAATGGAAGAAGTCCAGAAGATTCTCAGAGAATATGTGCTTGAGTGTGTCGCAGCATGCCAAAATGGAAAGCCTCTCTCCCACCTTTGGTTAAAATAGCCCTTTGCTTGTTGGATTTTGTCCAGGCCCTATGCTTTATGCTTGTGTGTTGGAGTCGATTTTATTTATTGATTTACTCCCTCAATCCTGTAAAGAATGGTCATTGTAAAATTTTAGGGTTCAAATTTTAAAACTTTGATTATAAATTTTCACTAATGTATAAAAAATTATAGCCGGGGATCGTGTTAAATTCATTTCAATATCTACTTAAGATATTAAATTTTTATAATTGTACACGTATTAGGTGTATTTGTGGTTTAAGAGTATCTTCAAAACTTTAAAAAGTCAAATGAGACAATCTTTTTAGGAACAGAAAGAATACTCATTATTTATCAATTTAACATTGTTTTAGTTATAGCACCATCTTCTAAACTTCAAGTTGAGGTGTTTTCGCCTTCTCTTAGAGCTCTTTGAGAAGTTTAAGTATATTGAGATTATTGACCAAGTGCAGATGTTCAAGGGCGGATTATAATACTGTTGTACTCCATAATTTGTATACAATTCATCCAAATTTATGACTATATCATTTGACCAAGTGCTGATGTTTGAGGGTGGATTGTATACTCTGTTTTACTCCGTATACAAGACTCATAAATTCATCCAAATATTTACTCAACTTACAGATTATTTGAAGACAACTTTTCTGGATGTTGATGAAGGGGACAGAGAAAGAGCTCAAATGTGGCAAGCCTTTTTCTATGTATGGCTTCTCCCTTGGATACAAACATTGATGTGGACTTGCTCCAAAAATGTTTAGCGGTTTACCCACATTTAGATCAAGTTGTTTAGGTGGCAATTGGGTCATTCAGATTGGATCACCTGGAACGGGTATTTTCCATGTAAACTCATTTGGATTAGGTCGAGTTGCAATGGGTCATCTTCGCTTCTTTTGCCAATATATTGCAAGTACTAGAAGCATTGATTATTAGTCGGTTCAGATTAGGTCAAATGATTTTGAGCTGGGTAATAGACTAATAAATATGAGTTAGTTTTGCTAGGTCGATAAAACTTTAAGAAGACTAATATAAGTTTAGTATATATTCCGGTTAAAATACCTTAATATATAAAATTAAGGTAATGTTTTATTCACCGTATTTCCACTTAATTTGGAAAATTCAAAACAAGTTCAAAGTAATTTTGATAATGGTTAATGTTTCCGATTAGATAGTTAACAACTTAATACTTCCCAAGTTAAAGCAAATTACATTATGTGCATGAATCAATCACCAGCGGTTCAGCACTCAGGAAACACAAATTGGGGCAACCGGCGGTTGTAACGACTTTGCTGCCTCTAATGTAAAATTGTAAACTCCTCGAAAGTCGAAGCATGGGGGATTTTAATTTATGTACTCGTACATGATAATCAATTAATCATATCCACAATTATCCCATTTAAACTAGTCACATTCATGAATTAACATGATCTATTTGCCACAAAATCATTATAGTTAAAGGGTTTTTTCTCTTTGAATTGAAATTTTCAAATGGAACAAACGTTAAATAAACGGAGAAAATAATTAATTAATTGTCAAAAACAACAATTCAAACAAAAATTTGGGTTATGACACTGATAAGATCAAGTGGATGTTCTTAATAATATTCTTTTCTATTGATAATTGTAGCATTATGTATAGTGTGTAAGTTGACTAAGATCTTCACTAATCAACTACACCATCATCTACGTTTCTTCTATCACCAATTCACCATCAAATAATAAAATATACAAGTAGTATATTAAAAAAATTATAATTAAAAAATAATAATAATAAAATATAAATTCTGTCGTTATTCAGTCGAGGTTTTATACTGTTTTGACCGTTAACTCCGGTACTAAATTATTACAATGTCTCATGTATGTGGCACTACATCACTAGATTCTCTACTACTTGTAGCTTATTACTCCGTATCTATTAGGAGAGCTTTTAGGTAGTGTTACATTAATCTATGGGACCTAGAATATAGGCTGGTAGAATGTGCCGCATGTTATAGGGTTAGTTATTATCACTCTTTATACTCCTAAGTTATTCTGATGATTTCAAGATAAATGTTTAGTAGTATATGATCCTATGCAATGTACTAGTACAAAGTAACAAAAATCACCATACATGATTGAACTCTCTTAAACTACTTGTATTATTTTAGTAGATGGTTAGTTTGATTTTGGTGAGAAGCAAACAGGCAATGAACTAAGTAGTAATAGGCAATAGTGCCGATAGTATGCAATTGATTGGGGTACATAATTATGGAAATTTTCGATTTTGGTTGTAACGAGGTCGAATGATTGAATTAATCAAAAAGAGGTTGAAGATTGAAATTAGTCAATAAAGAGGTCGAATGATCAAATTAGTCTAGACAGAGGTTGAATGATCGAATTAATTAGTTATAAATAAAAAATGTCTAAATCATACGCCATAATCTGAATTAAAAACTCTTTATAAGGATTATTGGATGGAGGTCTATCAAGGTCAATGGCAATATGAGAGATAATCAACTTGTACATAAGTCAAGCCTTGTCTCATTTAAAAGTCATACCGCAATAAAATTAATTAGACAACAAACTTTAAATGTTACTCCATAGTTCGACATTAGACAATATTTCTCTCACACACTAAAACTTGTCAAGATTGATTACTTGATTTTTCAATGATCAATTCACATATTAGGGATATTACTGCCTCAAAATCACTAACCGTCTTTTCAACGATATATATACTTAAGATTGATCGTTTAAACAATAGTATAAAGATTAACTTGCATTGTCATTTAATGTATGTTCTCAAGGAAAAATATTAATCTAATTCTACTTATTAGAGCTAAAACAGTTAATACATGTGCTTTCATGTGAAAAGACGACGCAATTTTAGCTCAAAGGTACCATTCCCTACCAGACCGGTCAATAATAAACGGTCCAAGCCGCAAACACAACCAATTTTTTTTACTTGATTCGTATTTGTTTTTGTGTGCCGAAATACTACCAACTTTGGTCAAAATCCGTGAACGAGTGAAGAATCTTTTTACTAAAATTAAATAGAGTAACACACTAACATTATAAGGACTAATTAGCAAGAAACATTATACATTTACATTAAATAGGGCAGCCAACGCGCGCTAGCCTTTGCAACTTAATTTACTTGTCTTGTATTTGCACTTCACATGAATGAATAAAAGACTGGCAAAAGAATATACTACCTCTGGTTCAATTTACTAGCAACAAAAGATTATTTTATGTCTCACAAATAATACCCCTTTGTTGCGAGTACATTGAACCGGAGGTAGTATTTCTATTGTTTAGGCATTGTTTGTTTGTAGTCGTGCTAAGTTGAATGTTATGTGTGAAATATCTCGTATATTGAAAAAAATCTTTATTTTACTATTTGTATATGGTGATTCTGTTAATTGAAATACTATGTAGAGTCACTGTAGAATATAATTCTTAGGTTTTTCAATGATAATGCAGAAAATGAACAAATGTTAGAATTGTTGTTTGTTTATTTTCGCAGTGTTGATATTAGCATTACTTAATTGTGGTGGTACAATACGAAATAGAGAAAGAATCATCAATGATGAAACCGAAACGACCAATTCCTAATCCACCACAGAGGCTAACAATATTAAGCAACTGCTATATATTGGTATTGTCATTTTTTTTTTGCCACAATTTGATTTGGGAATTTTGGGAAGGTGGCCGGTGAGCAAAGATGTGGAATTTAGTACTTGGAATGGCAATGATAGTGTGGAGGGAGAAAGTTAAAAGCTTTAAAGAGATGGAGCCATGGAGAGGAGGAGAGAAAGCTCAAATGTGTAAGGAAATGTAGACGGGTAACAACAATTTGAAGTTGGACTGTTGGAGTACAAAATTACAAATAAGGGTACAAAGGTAAAATACATTTTGAAGGGTTAATAGGGGTACAAAGGTAAAAATAATATTTTTGAAGGGTATAAAAGTCCGTGCACTATTCATAAGAACAACTTTCTACTTTTTATAAGGTAGGGAAAAGTGTAATGTATAATGTAATTCATATCATGTAATGTGAATCGTAGAGTGGAAACTCGTAAAAGAGTGAAGAATCTTCAACTAAAAATGAATAGTCACATTATAATCATCGAGAAGCATTATACTTTTATGTTAAAAAGTATTAAGGCCTGTTCTCATACGTTGAAATTCAATTCAGTTCAATTCAGTTCAGCTCAGTTCAGTTCGTTTCATTTCAGCTCCTAATTTCCTTCTCTTATGAAATATTCATTCATTTCAGTTCAGTTTAGTTCAGTCATTGAGAACAGGCACTTACTCCAATTGTAATATGTTATATTGTTATGTAATGTACTCCGTATCATGTAATATGAATTCGTAGAATGGTAAATGATGTACTCAAAATTAAGATTATGGTTGAATTTTATCTACATCTTTGTCATTGTATATACACGCTAGAAAAAGATTAGTACTCCATATCGTAATTTGATAATACATATTTTTTTACAAAAAATAACAATGGTGACAAGATTTACCGCTAGTTGTATTTGAAAATTTTAAATTAATTCCTTATTTCTAAGCGAGAGGATTTTGGAGGTAGTAAGGTATGTATTGATATTGAAGACTGTATATCATTCTTGTAATGCAAATCGGAGAAGTTATTACCAAGCTATCTAGGGAGCCATCATTCTTTGGACGGTGTCTCATGTAGATAAGGGTGAGCCATAGCTCACAGTCGAGTCAGCGATAGCTCGGATGCTCCTATAATTGCGGGCTGCGGCAAAGGGCAAGGTATAGATGCAATCTATTAAAAATATTTTATCATTTCAATCTCTTTTATAGTCCTTTCTCTCTTTAACATGAAATCTATTTTCGATTCCACATTGTACTTTTATTAAAATAAACTAATCACTCACTTATCCACATGCATAATATAATAAAGTCTCGAAAAATTTTGTGTAAATGCAAAAAAAAAAAAAAAAAAAAAAAAAAAAAAAAAAGTTGAGCTCCTTACTTTGTAGACTCTGGGCCACGAATCTTTAGTGCAGTTGACATGAATCATGGTGAATTAAACTGTGGGCCATATCAACAACTGAAGGTACAGAATGTCCACAGTTATAAGGCTTTTTATTTTGCTGTTCATTTACTACTATATGGGCCACTTCAATATCTTGATTCCTTTCTCGGCCCATATACCTAGCAA